CTCGAATCTCTGGACCAGCGCGTTGCACCCCAGGCACAAGGGCAGCGTGAGCCTGCGGCGTGCCGCGGAATGCGACGCAAGCCTCCAAGAGACCCTCCTCGCCCACAGATCTCGGGCAGACTGCTGGTTTCCGTCCCGGTGTTTCTCCTCTGCTTCGGCCTCCCGACACCGTTTTCGGGACCCGGGGGCCCTCAAGAGTGTACCTGGGACGGACGTCTGCCACCAAGGAAGAGGTCTACACCTCTGGGGCCCATGAGGCTCGGCCTCCAAGATCCCCCCACGGCTCAAAGGGCCTGATAGATGCTGCAATGCGTGCTTCTTGCGGCGAATCAGTTGGAGAGAAGGGGGGAGGAGGACGACGGAGGTGGACGTGGGCATCCGACGGGCAAGGGATCACGGATGGCATCTCGGTGGCCTGCCGGAACACTAACATAAGAGAGCACCGACATCACGGCAAGCTCCCGCACACTTCCAGAAGCCGGCCGGGTGCCCCGCCCCATCCGGCGCAACCTGCTTGCGCTTCGCGGGCGTCCCCCTCCCCCGTCCCGTATCGTTCTCTTCCTTTGCCTCCTCGCCACCGCCGTCCTCCCGTGCTCGTTCCTGTCATCGTCGTCATCTTTCCTCGTCCTCCTCTTCCTCGTCCTCCTCCTCCTCCTCTTCCCACGTACTCCTCCTCATCGTCCTCTTCCTCCTCCTCTTCCCCCCCATCATGCCTCTATCTCTCCCTCTCTGAAAGGCCGTTCACATGGGGTACAAGGGCGGATCTCGTTCCCACCCAAGTTCCCTCGATGGGGAGTCGCAGGCCCAGAGGCCTCCAACATTCTCGCAAGTATCTCTCAATTCACCATTGCTGGCCTCCTTGTTTCACTACGTACTAACCGACTCTCCGATGTTCGACAACTTTCCATCGCATCGTTCCTAGCCGCTGGTGCACAATACGCGAGGCGTCAAGAACGCACAGCGCCTGTGCTGTGGCTTCGGATGAGGTGCCAAGGAGGCCTGGCGGGGATGGTTGAGAGGGAGGACAGATGGAGTGAGCGGCGAGGAGACAATCGACTGGAACAACACGAAAGAAGTAGAAGCAACGGAGGCGGGCGAAGGAGCACGAGCGGAGACACTGAAACGTGCACCCGATTCTCACAAGTCGGAACGAAGAGAATCCGAAAGCTCCCGTTGGCCGAGTCGTCGACATCACCTTGCAGGCCGGGAGCCTACTACTCGACTGGCTCCCACTCGCGAGCCAACCATGGACAGCAACGCCCAGGACCTCTCGTTGCCGTGCTGGGGCAACCGTGTCAGCCGGACGGCGCTGGAGGCCCAGGCGCGCGTGGGCGGGCGTCAGCGAGAGGCTCCCCGATGGGCTTCCAGCACGTGCCCGAGAGGCCCAAGGCACGACGGAAGAGTCGCCCAAGACGGCCCACGAGGCTTCCAGCGAGACCCACACGCGGCTCCCGGGGAGGCCCCCCCCCCCAGACGCTGCCGCAGCGCCCTCTCCTCCTCCTCCTCCTCCTCCTCCTCCTCCTACTCCTCCTCCTCCTCCTCCTCCTCCTCCTCCTCCTCCTCCTCCTCCTCCTCCTCCTCCTCCAGGGTGCGCCGTTTGCCCACGTCGAGCCGGGGCACGCCCAGTGACACGACGCACGCAGGCGCGGGGGCCGAGTGCAGCAGGGGCGAGCAAACAAGAGGATGCGAGGGCTGCGGAGGCCCTGCGGCATGCGCACGGGCCCGGCGCCTCGAGGCCCTCACAGAGCAGAGCCTCTCGGAAACATGAGGGGCCTGAGGAGCTGCGCCCTGGGGTGCAGCTACGCGGTGATGCATTCCCAACTGGCCCATCGTCCCCATCCCACCCCCAGCATCAGGGTTGGGACGGCGCCCGCGCTCGCCCCTCCCTCGTTGAATTAGGAAATCACTATCGCTGAGACCGCAAACGAGCAAGCCAAATCGGAGAACTTAGGCCCGAAGGCGGTCGATAAAAAGGACATGGGTGGAGCACTGGCGGCAGGAGATGCCATCATCAACCCGCTTGGTGCGTATGACCCTACCGTCGATTCCAACCTTACTAGTCGAAAAGCGAATGTGACAGAGCTGAAATGACTGGCCAAAAGACTGGCCGCACCAAAGATCAGCATCGCCCCATCTATGGCACCGATAGGTCGGAGCCCAGGATCTGGCGCAAGCGCGGCCGCTACAAAAACGTGAGGCTAATTGGCGGATCGAGCATCGGCACTCCTCACACCCAACACCATCGGCGCGAATGCGATATGCTGGGCCTGTTTTCCACCACCACTTCCATAGGTAGGAGAGGGAGGAGGGGGAGGAGGAGGGGAGGAGAAGGACCAGTGTAAACCCAAGAGCCATCAACGATATTGGAGTAAACCCTCCCTAGGCCCCTACAACGGTTCATTTCCATTGATGGAATTGCCTCGTTGGAAGACACCCGTTTGAAGACCCTGAAGCATGCCAAACCATTGTTCTCGGGATTCCAACGCCATGGATCAACATGACTGTTGCGTCTTGACGATCCTGAATCGCGCCAGAACGCCATTCCTAAGACTTCAACACAACGAATCAACGTAACTGTTGCGCCCGCATAATCCTGAATCCTTCCAAAACACCAATTCTGGTACGTTGATGATGGGAGTCCGTGAAAGTCTTGCAAATTTTCCAAACGAATGTGCGCCGCGCTAAGGCTAGAACCACATGTTGAAAACCGACCGTCCTCAATCCGTGAAGCCCTTTTATTTTTCAACAAAACGAATGTGCGCCGCACTAAGGCGAGAGCCACATGTTGAAAACCACCCGCCCTCAATCCGTGAAGCTCTTGCAAATGTTTAAAACGAATGTGCGCCGCGCTAAGGCTAGAACCACATTTTGAAAGCCACCCGCCATCAATCCGTGAATCTCCTGCAAAGTGTAAAAAGGAATGTGCGCCGCAATAAGGCGAGAGTCACATGTTGAAAACCACCCGCCCTCAATCCGTGAAGCTCTTGCAAATGTTTAAAACGAATGTGCGCCGCGCTAAGGCGAGAACCACATTTTGAAAACCACCCGCCCTGCATCTATGATATGGTTGTCACTTTTACAGCTCCAGAATCATAAATTGTTAGGAAATCTCAAGCGAAGCGCCCGGCCCGCCCTAAAAACTAGCCTCGGGTGCGACAGGGAGAAGTTATTTATAAGGAATCGAAATGGAGGAGGAGGAGGAGGAGGAGGAGGAGGAGGAGGAGGAGGAGGAAAAAGAGGAGGAGGACAAGGAGGAGGAGGAGGACAAGGAGGAGAAGGTGGAGGTGGAGGAGGAGGAGAAGGGGGAGGAGGAGAAGGAGGAGGAGGAAGAGGAGGAGGAGAGGGAGGAGGAGAAAGAGGAGGAGGAGGAGGAGGAGGAGGAGAAGGAGGAGGAGGAGGAAGACCTCCCAATCCTCATCTCCCCCGTCCTACCTATGGTAGCGATGGTGGAAATTTGGCCCATCACGATAGGGACATCCGAGAGGGCACGGTGCCGTTCAAAGGGCAGCAGGGCAACGAGGGATAGTGCAGGGAACGTGGAAGCTGATCGATAGAACATCAGGTACGGCAGGTCCGTGCTGTGAGACTTCTGCGTTGGTTTCTGGCCCCGCTTGGGTCGCTCAGCCTCAAACGATCGCGGCTTTCCGATCGCGCAGAACGCTCCGTGGCGGCCGATTCCGGGCCACTCAGCCTTGAGCGCCCGATCTGGGGATGGCGCCGCGCCAGCGCGGTGCGCTCCTGTCGAGCCTCTGCATCTGAAGCGACGACCTGCCCGATGTGCGCCGATTGCACCCTGAGGTATCCCTCTCCCTCTACAGTCGGGCCGCTGAAAGAAGGAACGCTAAATAAGGAACGAAGCCCCTTTTTGGCCCTCAAAGCGCCTCCGTGCACGAGGAGGGCGAGAGGGACAGCAGTGGAGGAACCTCGGGAACATCGAGCCCCTTCCGAACCCAAACAGTTCCTTATTTCAGCGTCTTGACTGTATGCGCCAGCGCGCCCCCGCGCCGCCCCCCTCGGAGAAGGCAGGCCGCGCTGGCCCAGACCGCGACGCGCGAAGCGCCATCATGCGAGGCGGGGGTATCTACACGTCCTCCGCCTGGGGCACTTTACCAGCCTCGAACGTATCCCTATCCCTAAGATTGACACGCCAAAAGGCGATGACAATCTAAGGGCTCCGCCATAAAAAAATCAGGGAACCCCTGAGACTGGCATCGTGATGAGGAGGTGCCCGGCATCGGGATAGGGACGTGCTCCAGGCTGGTAAGCACTGACGTCCCGGGGCCCCGGCGGGCGAGGGGGACATAATTATGGACACCTGGGGAGGGGGGCCGAACAGATCCGCGCCCACCGCCCGCCGACGTCCCCGACGGGTCGCCTCCCCCAGGACGGTGCCTCCGGAGGCGCCCCCGCCTCGGAGAAGCCATCCCTCGTCACGCCCCCTGCGGCCGACCCTCGGTGCGGCAGGCTCGCGCGGCATCGGCACGCGCAGCCTGGCCATCGCTCGGACGCCCATCCCCTGTGCCTTTCGCCGGTTCCGTGCGTGGCTTTCGTCGCCAGGTCAGCAAGGATGCTCCTCGATGGTCCTCGCCGGAGGAACACTGCACACGTCCGAGCGATGCCACCGCCTCGGTCGCCTCGGGCGCCGCCCCTGGCGCGCTCCGCGCGCCAGGCAAGGGGGGCCTCCGGCGCCGATCCGAGCCATCCGCGCAGACCTCCGAGTTTTCATGAAGGAGCCCAAGGACACACAAATAAATACACACATAAAGATATTCCCTATATTTTCCCATATTTTCTGGGTTTCTGTCTTCCCCCACACTTTCCATATTTTCGCATATTTTCTAAGAAATCGACGATTCATTGTGTCTGTGTGTTTTTCCCCCCCCCCTGGTTTTTTGCCTGTGCCACTTACGAGACCTGCGTGGCATCCCAGCAGCAATGCGGCCCCCGACTCTCGTCCTGGGCTCGATTTAGTTGAAGTGATGACGTTCGGGGCCCTCACGTGGGAAGAAAAAACATCACACTTCACTCATCTGGAGCCCCTGGGGCCTCAGT